GCCTTTTATGTTTTTTGAAGGATTTTTTTTTTTCCCTTGGGGAGTTGAGAGGGGGGAAACGGTCTGTGGAATAAGTTTATTTAATATGACATCGGTTGAATAAAGCCAGCTGTGTGTAATTATATCTGATATTTGATTTCCAGCTGTTTTGCCGGACTGTTATTGGCTCTCAAGGTATTTGGGTATTAATTAAATGATGACTTATTATAAAGGAGTCTTGTTTAAAGTAATGTTGCCTCAAACAGAACATTTAAGAGCGGGCCGCGTGGTTCGAAGATTTAATGCTTTCCGATGCGACTGTTACTTTAACCCCTTCCCACAAATTTTTTAGTCCTCTCTACAAGCTGAGATTTTATGAAGAGCAAATTGGGGCTCAGAGGCTTTATGTAAATCGCCTGATAGTAGAGTTAACCCCTTCCCCAACAATTTTTTTGGTAAAAACGTTTTTTTCAGAGTAATTTTTTTATTTTGGTTCTATATAGTATTTTTGATGCTGGTTATGAAAACAGTTTGTAACTCGTCTTCCTATAAACCATATTTTTTTACCATATTTTCTTAGTATACTCGTCGACGACTGAAAAAGAACATTTTGTGAAAACGAGTATACACGTTTCTGCCGGGGAAGGGGTTAAAGTCAGTACAGATACGGTGCTCGCTGGGAGCATCTGGTCTTTATTGAACATTGCCTTTGTTGACTTGTTCCCACAGACAGTTCACATACATGTTAAAGAATACCAACAGTCAAGGCGAGTGTATAATACGTTCCTTATGAAGGATGCATTAATAAATGCCTAGGAGACCAGAGGAGGGGAGAGTTGGTGGAGTGGTCTGTGGTCTGCAGGGCTCCTCAGGGGATGGAGGTGGAGCTGCCCATCAGATGGATGTGTGCGAGGCAGGAGGACGTGCTGGGAGGCAGAGAGGCCTTTCGGGTGGAGCCTGGAGCAGAGGAACCCTGGGAGCAGGCCGGCCTGGGCCTCAGGCTGTGGCAGTGGACATTGGGTGGTTGATGGAAGTTTTTCACTAGGGGAGGGGGCAGCCTAAACACGTTGGGGTTCCTTATTTTGTTTGTTAGGTATGATAAAATGGGAGCCCCCGAAACTGTCCATACCATTGAAAATAGAATGAAAAAAAAAATATGACAGGCTACTCAACAGGATTTAAAAAATGGAATTAAATATATGTAAAAGAGAAAAGCGTGGCTATCGGAACAAACTGAAGATAACTGCTGGGTTTTCACTGGAATCGCTGGGGCATTGGCGCCAGGGACAGCAGAAGAGAAACCTGGAGGTAGAACTCGTGTTTTGGGGGGAAATGGAGCGTGAATTTTAGTTGTCCTTTGAAGCGGTGCTGGTAATGGCGGGAATTTGGAAGACAAGTCAGGGTCTAGGAGTCACGGGTAAAGATGGCCTGAGAGTAGATGTGGTTTCTCAGGGAAAGGATCCTTTTGAAGAAGAGTGAGGCTCAAGGCAGACCTGGGCTGCTCGTGGAGAGAGCTGGTACCGCCCCCTGAGCCCTTGAGGAGGCCTGGGGCCCAGGGGAGGGATCGGCCAGCGCTGGCCACCTCCCTCGACATTTCATATTCTCATTCCCTGCTTGTTATTTTACCTTCTTCCTGCTTATTATTGACAAACTTTTAAAAATCCTCATTCAATCTTTCTGTCTCACTAGATGTAATATCCACTGGACTGCAATATCGGCTTGAAGAGGGATTTTTGTCTGTTTTGTATGCTAGTGCATCGGGGCAAAGATCACATTCCAAAAGGTTATACAATAACTGGATCGTTGAGAAAGTGGGCAAAAAGGGTGAACCTCTCATTCCAGAACCTTGGCCAAGAATTACAGCTGTTTAGGAAGGGTCAGGTGAAGATTTTCCAAGGCAGGAGACTTGCCCATTTCTAAGAAGAGAATTGAAAAGGAGACAGAGAACACAATGTTAATAGTTTAAAAATCTGGGTGTGTGTTACTCGCTCAGGTATTTCTGTAGGCTTGAGACTGATTTCAGAAAAGGCGTGCAAGAAGATAAGGTAAAAAAAAAAGTTCTTGTTCTTTTCCTGTTCTTTTTTTATTTGTAAGAATTTAATTTTTGCTTAGGGTACTACTATTAAAGGCAGAATCAGTGTGTGTGTGTGTTTGGGAGAGGTTGCGAAGAGGAGTTTATTGGTCTGTTTTTGCACTTAATCTTCTAGCCACAGGTTAATTGGTTTCTCTGGGCAATACCTGTGTATTGGGTGGAATCCTCACTGACGCAAGGGTTTGCAGAGGTTGCATGTGGGCCATGTTAATGGCATCTGATGTTGACTTGCATGCATAAAACAACGCTTTGGTTCCAGAAGGTTAAGAAGTACAACGGTAGTATTTGTCTGCTGTACATTCGAGGGTTTAAATGACACACAGACACAAGAGTGTAATGTAGTAGATTTAGTTCCATAATTATCTTTTGTTTCATTTTTACTTACTGACATTTTCCTACTAAAATGAAGATCAGCTATAACGAAATGAAGTTTAAAACAAGGCAAGGCTTACATATCTAGCTAAGTGTTTTCCTTAAAATTTGTCACGTTTCCAAGTAATACAGTATTTTTATAAAAATTCTGGTGCTGTCGCCGAAAGTATGTTTAAGGCCGTATCTTGGTGTTATTATCAGAATTGCTTAGTGAATACCATGAGGAAGTCACCTCTCTACTTCCTGTAATTGTGTGTTATTTTTGAGCCTCATTGAACTTAAATAACCAACTCGTTCATTAGGCTGAGTTCTGGGTGAGTGCTGGATGCTCTCAAAAGCCAAATCTCCCAGAATCACTACTAAGGATAACATTCAAAAGAATGTGCTTACAGACATTCTTAAAGCAGGCAGCTTATGCATTACAGTTAGCAGCGAGAACATTACTGTCAATAACAGTGAACGGCCTGTGAATAGAGAGGAAGAGATTATGTCCGTCCTCTGCCTTCCCTTTTTCTTTCTCTTTGTCTGTCCCCCCCTCCCCCCCCCGCATCCCCTCCCCAAGTTAATTGCAGAGTTGACTTTTGGCTTTAAAATAATATATATATTTCAGAGAGGAAGGTAGAGAGAGAGAGAGAGAGAGAGAGAGAGAGAGAGAGAGAGGGAGAGAAAGAGAAATCAGTGATGAGAGAATCACTGATAGGCTGCCTCCTGCATGCCCCCTATTGGGAATCGAGCCTGTCGTCTGGGCATGTGCCCTGACCTGGAATCGAACCGTGACCTCCTGGTTCATGGGTCAATGCTCAATCACTGAGCCACACAGGCTGGGCAGCTTTTGGCTTTGACAGAAGACTAGGTGCAGGCCCGGTCCCACACAGGCTCAGTACAGCCAGTGGTTCTGCTAAGTGGGTTTTCATCCCCAGAGGCACACAGGTTTACTTGTACTTTTTATCAGAAGCGATTCCTGTATATTTTATGATTGAACTGTAATAAATTAAATAACTTGATAAAAATATACCTTGGGAATTGTTGAGTGTTTCCTTCCCACATCCCACGTGGGTCAGGATTCAGGAACTGGAAGCAGAGCCACACACAAATGAAAATGAAAAGACAAGAGATAATTTGAAATATTGGGGACCAGGAGGGCAAGTCCAACTCAAGGGGAAGGACTTCCACCTGTGCTCAGGCCTCACCAAGCTTTTATTGATTCTGGGATGCACCCATAGCATAGCCCTTAGGCAGGTGACCCCCTGCAACAGGCAGACTAGCCAGCCCATCAGCAAGGATTTACATAATAATAAATGGGGGAATAGTTTCAGCTACCACTGTCTGGACAAACAGAGGTGGCGCCTAGCTCCGACCTTTGCTAGGGCTTCAAAGGCACCCATCTTTGGGGGGGGGGGTGAGGGGTTCTCTGTCTACACTTATCAGATAGTGAAGGCAATAAACAGTTTCCCACAGGGAATGATATTATTTCTGTGAAAGGACTTGATGCTAAATATAGGATCTAATCACATTTCCTTATGGGAGTAGATACTGAATAACGGTTTGTCAGATGAAGGTGTACGGTTACTGATACTTATGATTTCTGGTGTAATCAATTTGCTTAATTTGCAGTTTGAGGGGAGAAGAATATGTGTGATGTGATTTAGAAGTTCTGATGTTGACTGGTAGCGATGGCAGAGTGGGAGAGAGCACCTGTTAAACTTGGGGTTAAGAAGCCTCTCTTGTCTTCTGATCCCCGTGACTTATAATTGAATTTCTATCTTGCATTGTAGCCTTTTGTGAGGGTGTTTAGGTTCCTCTGAGGACCGGGATTGTGTTGTACCAATCTCGTGTCTCCTGGGTGGCCTCCTAGCACAGGGCTCCGCCCAGAGCAAGTATCTAATATGTTGGCTTTACCTGTGACATGGGAGTGCAGGGAAGGGATGACCACTGAACAGATTGAAATGTGGGACTAAGTAGGAGTCTTCGTTAAAAATAAGAGGTCTGTAGATGGCATGGGGCGGGGGGGAATAAAAGGGGGAGAAAAATTAAATTTAAATAAATGAATGAATAAATAAATAAACCAGAAAAAAATTACAGTAATACATATAGGAAAAAATAGAAGGCCCTCTACGTTAGAGCATTGTATTTTATTATAAAACCAAAATTATCTAAGTAAGAAAACAAAACTGGGAAACGAAAATGCGATTTTGTTGCAGATGAGCAAACAGCTGTAGGGAGCTGAGTGGCTTGACAGGGACGCAGCCCTGGGAAATGGCAGAGCCGGGCTTGCGCTCAGGGCAGTGCGGTTCGCTGGGCTCACTCGCAGCCCAGTCCACGGCTGGCAGGCAGACACTGCCCCGGGGAGTGGCCCGCAGGGCTGGCGCTGATTACCTCACCAGCCCCAAACATCTTGCCACATTTTCTGCAAAATTTACATTCTGTTCCAAGGCCCAGAATTCCACCAGAAGTTTCTAATGTTAGAGATTTCTTTAATGAAAATTTATTGAAAAATCCCTTTTGGGAAGGGCCAAAATACCTAGAATGCTTTTCTCTGGAAAGTTTTGAGAATAGGACTGTAAGT